TCGAAGATAAAGGTTACCCATAACCTCAGGAACTCAAATATATAATTTTCTCCTAATTCCATACTCAAAATCATGGCTAAAATCCAAGGTTTTAATAATTTTCTAGGTTTCCAACCAAAACCCCAATATTTACACTAATTTTCATGCCTAATCCATACATAATCAATGATTCTGGGAATATTTCTTATAAAAGAATTAATTGACTATTTGTTTCCTTCTACTTGGACTAAAATCATGTTTATAGAATAAACCCACTGGTTAGCATATATATATGTATTGAAGAAGAACCATTATTGGACTATTAGTAAGTGTCAGAGTTGACCATCTCGTCTCTACCCTTCGGGATTAGGCGGGATACTTACTGAGTACACGTTGATTACGTACTCATACTACACTTCTGTGCATTTTTGTTGCACAGGTACATGATACTTTAACGGCCTACTGGGCGCGGCAGCACGGACGATTCGGGGACTAGGTGAGTTGCAGTATGTGAGGCGACCCGTAGCTCTTTAAAGTCCCTTTCTAGTAACTGTATTTCTTTTCTGTCCATTGTATTCCGGACGGATGTAGTATTGTATTTTATGTCTTTATCAGTAGTTGCTCATGCACTTGTGACACCGGGTTTCTGGGATGGTTTCAGTAAATCCTTATACTACTTACTATTATTTAAATTTGAATTCAAGCAATGATCTTATTTTATGTAAAACGGAAGGAAAAACCTTAGATTTTCAAAAGTGTTAAAAGAGGAAGTAAGTGATAATTTAGTTGGCTAGCCTGACAGCGGTGTCCGGCGCCATCACGACCCGTAGTGGATTTGGGTCGTGACAGGGCCGATGTAAAAGAGCCTAAGGGCCAAAACATATAGGGTTCAAGACATTGCTCTCACTCAACCCGGACTCAAGAGTCCCACCATCCCGAGCTTGCGTCAAATCAACTTAAGCTTAGCTCGAGGAATAACAAAAACCTTAAGAGGTATTCTATTATAAAGATCTCCCATTGATCAATAAAAAACCTAATGGTTTATTATATTCTGAGTTCAGGCATACTCGGACTGACCATTAAAGTTATAACATCAAATGAAGACGAGACGGAATTATCGAAGATGAAGCAAAGAGATCCTTTTATATTTATACGAGGTGCTTACAAGAGATATTTTACAATACCCACGAGGGGTCCTTGCACAAAAACACAAAAACAAAATAAAGAAACCTAAATCTACTCCGGGGCTACATCTTCGGCAGCTGCATCTTCGGGAGCCGCGTCTTCGGGAACATCCTTTGGGGATTTCATCTTTGTCTCCTCCGCTCTCGGAGCCACTAGCTAAATCCTCATCATCTGAAAGTAAAGCGCCGGCCGCTTCTTCCAAAGTCTTTGCTTTTTCAATGTCGGCTGAGAGGTCGAAGCCGCGAGCGTGCACCTCCTCGAGCGTTTCTCTCCGGGACTGTCACCTGGCGTGGTCGAGTGCACATGATAGCTTAACTTCGGCCGCAGCAGAGATATCCTTTTCCCGGGTGTTAGCTGCTTTAGCGTCAGCTCGGTACGAAGATACAAATGCCTCTACGTCAGATTTGGCCTTGGCAAGCTCTGCAGCAGATTTAGCTTCGAGCTCCTCGATCCTGCGGCTTTGAGCCAGGCTTTCCTCCTTTACACTCTGAAGGTGGGGTTTAATTGAAGCCAGCTGCTCCTGAAGAGTATCTTTCTCCGAGGTGAGACGGTCCATGCCTTGTCTCCACCCTAGGGTCTCGGCCTCCTTCATCTTGAGCTCCTCTCGGAGCTGCTCCACCAGCTCGCCCTTTTGTTGAGCCTGCAAAGATGAAGTGTTAGCCGACCGATTGGACAAATGCATAACAAAACTTCAAAGGGTATATTACCTTTCCGACAAGCTCGGTCTATTCTTGACAAGCCTTCGCCAGTTCGGCTCGAAGATCGCTGATCTCCCCCTCCTTTTTGACATAGAGGATCTTAAGCCCATCCCTCTCTTCCGAGAGATTCTTGAGCTCGGCCTCACGTCGAGCTAGCTCAGCTCGAGACTTGGAAAACGCTTCTCGATGGAGCGTCACAACCTTCACAAAAAGGAAAAAGTTAGACTCAGAACAACAAGGATAAAATGCAGGCGTGATCCTAAGGGCAGAAACTTACTTGTTTGAAGAGCCGCTGGGCCTCATCAAAAATAAAAGAAGAATCTGGGTCAGGACCATCTTCGATCCCTGCAAGGCACTCTCGAAAGATATCGTGCCCTTCGTGGCTTGTCCCCACGTTAGGAGTTCGTATGTTCCGAGCATCTCGGAATTGCCCTTCGGAGAACTCAGGACCAGGCGGCAATTCATCCACGTTAATTACCCCAAGTGACCCACTCGGGGCATTCTCTTCTCTTTGGAGGGCCTCGGGGCCGGGCCCCTCGGTCTCACCCTCCAAATGACCTCCAAGACGAGGTGTTCATTTGCTGCCCGATGGCTCGGGGACTTTGCTCGAACTCCTCTCGAAGATTTCTTCAGTCCTAGAATGAACTGCATCAGCCACCATCGGTTCGGCAGACTTCGAAGTGTCAGTGCTTCCTCTTTTTCAAACTACCAACAGGCAGTTGTCATCTTCCCCCTCTTCCTCCTTATCCCGAAGGCGTTAGGCCGTTTTTGGAGATAGGGCCACAGTATCGGCCTTAGGCTTTCGAGCCTTGATTTTTTTTGGCTTCGGGGAATTTGCAGGCGACCCCCTCTTTCTTCTCTTTTCTTTGGAAGGCTTTGGGATCTCTTCTTCACCGGGCAGGGGCGGCCGCACAGAAACAACGTCTCCGAGGCCTGCATAAAGACAAAGTAAGTATTTCTCTGAGAAATACAAATAAGCAAAGAAGAGAACTCACTATGGTTTTTAGCCTCCCATCGACCTTTGGCCAGGTCACGCCAGCTGCACTCGGCGTACGAAGAAGTAGAGGCCAGTTTCTGGACCCAACCTTCAAGGTCCGGGACCGCACCTGGAAACCAAGTAACAACTACACCATCGGAAAGGGGTTAGACCGAGAAAAAGATGAGGTCGAGAAAGACAAGGGAAAGCAGGGTATACAGTCACTATCGATAAGCATGTACTTACGTTTCATGTTCCATTCCTCGGGGAATGGCATCCTCTCAACAGGAATCAGGTCGGAGGTCCTAACTAGGACAAACGGGCTCATCCATCCTCGGTCTTTCTCTTCATCGATGCTGGAGAAGAGAGATTTCGTGGATCGGCGTTGTAGCTTTATAAGGCCACCTCGATAAAGATGAGGGCTGTACAGCCTGATCAGATGGTCGAGGGTAAAAGGCATACCTTCGATCTGGCTCGAGAAGTATCTGATCAGATTGACGATTCACCAGAATGAAGGGTAGATCTGGCCAAGCGTCACTTGGTGTTGTTGGCAAAAATCAAAAATAACTGGATCAATAGGACCCAGAGCTGGATCGGCAGGGCCCAGCGTGAATGGGTAGGTATACACGCTTAAGTACCCTGCTTTATGAGTAGTGATGTCCTCTTCAGGGGAAGGGATCACTACATCTTTGTTCTCCCAGTTGCAGTCCTTTTTCACCTGCTGGAGCTCATCTTTGGTTATCAAACAGATGTAACGGGACATGGGCTCACATCGGCCTGGTGTCGATGCAGGTTTTTCTTTTTGAAATCGAATGTTGTTTCACATGGTGGGGGAATACACTCCTCGATACGAGGTGGAACCACCGTTTTACTTCTGGCCGGCCTCGATGATGAAGAGGATTTTTCTTTTTGGGGAACAGATTTAGATGTTTTAGACATTATGGTTTGGAAATTCAAGAGAAGAGAAAAGGGTGATGATGAAGTAAGAACAAATTGAGAGAAGGGTGAACTCAGAGGAGTTGAAGGAGCTAATGAGATTTTGAGAACGATTTGAGAAGTAAAGTTTGCAAAATTGTGAAGTTGGCCTATTTATAAAAGTCGCTTAAGCGTATTGGGGAAGCCAAATAGCCGACCGTCATCCGCCCCCAATTAATGACTTTGGGAACTGCACGAAAGTGACCTTTCAGTCACTTCAGCCGCTAACATCACGAGATTGACATCAGGATCGAGGTGTCGGAGCATCAAAGATCAAATCATTTTTTATCGACCTACTCTAAGAAACGCGGGGACTATCTGTATACGGTCAAAATTATATGCCTTCGATCTATAGGCTTGAGGGGTCGTCTTAAGACCGAGTTCAGGCATGGTCAAGTTCGAGCCCGATGGACAGACTCGAGCTCGAAGATAGGATGCAATGCCCGATGATCGAAGTACTATGAATACCGAAGACGAGTATGCTCGACCCCGAAATAATGCCGTTATGAATCTCTAACAGAATGAGCGGGATTCCTGCCACGTCCTTAAGATCATGGCGCAAATCCCGGAATAGAATTGTACGATTCCATATTAGGCGGTTAGACAACTGTCCTAATAAGATTCCTTATTGTAAATGGAAATGTACCTTATTTAGGGTTCCCCTATTATATAAAGGGGGCCCCAATCATTTGTAAAGATCATCCAATCATTGGCAAAGAATATACTATCTTATTTTTCTAGCCCATTGTTCATCAGACTTGTCTTTTCTCTTTACTGTTCTTACTTTATTGTTCTTGGTTCATCTCGAGGTCACTAAGCTCGAGGCCGATATTGTTTGGTAACACTGGTTTGATTCATTCGTTTCCTTCATCTATACTTTATATTTCTTGATTATTAATTGGTATTGAACTAAATCACATATCTTTAAAATCACAAATCAAATTTAATTGTTACTCGTATTTTCGTGGTAAATATATAGTCAATTATAAAAATTAACTTTACAAGTAGTTGTGTATTTGAATAAATAGATAGTATGAGAGACTTTAGCTATGTTTTCAATTTCATTTAGTTAAAACGTAAAAATTAAAATCGCTAAATAGAGAGGGGGAATATTTATAAGACTTTGGGCATAGATGTGTTTTACATGTTGCATGAGGTTAGATGTTGTACGTACTGTGTATGTTTGATAAATATAAATCTTTGTTAATGATACTTTTGTCCTAAAAGAATTAAAACTAGCTTCTACTGCTATTCACAACACTTATTTTTTTCCTTAGAAACTTCACCAAACACCTTAAGCCTTCAAAATAAACACTTTTTTCTGTAAAACAGAAATACGTACTCTTAGTTGACTAGAAGCATGATCGAACGTTACAATAAAATTCTACTTCATACTCATAGAAGTATTTTCCTTTCCCATCAATTCACTTGTCATAGACCGTAAACTTCTTGTCCAATTCAATGGTTGAAGGAATCGTCGTTGAAAGTAGGCAAATTCTCCGTACTTGTCGTGGAAGGGCGGCGTCACTGATTCCCACTGATTGCAACCTCTAATTCTGATATGCAAGACGCTCCCAATTCCATCTTCGCCGTCGATTACCTCGCAGCATTGCCGACGTGGTGCCTGTTTTATTGTGAAAATTAAATAATTTGACCCTCATGCTTCGGTCGCCATAACATAATTAAAATGAAAAAAGGGAGTAAGAAAGGTTTCACAAAAATAATACTACCAGAAACTTACCTGTCTCCATACTTGGGGAGATAGCATACGCGCCTTGACATTAACCGTAGGAATTGCTAATGCTGGTCCATAATGTTCGTTCTCGCATTGCTTGTTAATATCACCAACCCTATTATAACTGGTCAAGGTTTCACCATTACGGATGTCAGTAACTTGATCTAAGTAGTACTCTATTGGCCTCTTACACGGATCTACATAGTCTGGCCGAGTACTAAATGTGAATGGTCCCTCCATTCGTCTAATTGTCTTGAATGTTCGTACCGGCATCCCCAATTCCCTTGCATTCATCACCCACGGATATAATTGGACTGAGTATCCCCACGACACTGATAATGACCAATTTCTCTTTAAGTCATAGCACAAACTCTGCTGCATCGTCCGACTTGGGTCCTTTTTATAAGCCTCAATCACCTTTTTGACTGACTCAATTCGGCTCATCAATGGAATTAGAGGATCTACCAGGCCCAAATGGTGTAGTGATACAAATGGCGCAATAGGATGTGCTGCAAAAAACCCTCGTGGACTTCCTTCTATATCCATCTTAAACATGCATTAAGTAAATTTTTCAGTTTTTATTGTATGTATATGTAAAAATTTATTTAAAGGGTTAAAAAAGTCTATCAACACTCCGTAAAGAGGCTCCGTACTTTTACGATAGTAATGAAATAATATATATATATATATATATATATATATCTTTTAATTTCATTGCCTTCCATGAAAAAAACAAAAAGAGGAGGGTGCTCATTGTAAGAAAAATGAGTAGATAATATTGACTAAGAACAGGAAGGAAAGAAGAACAATTTTGTCAAAAATACTGTGTCGTGACAAGCCACTGCCTTGAAAGCTATTTCGGCCCGACTAAGTGCAAATCATTAAGGCCGGTCGCTCCCCAAGGTTCCACAGCACCTCCAAACACATGCACTCGTGGCTGGAAGTTTAGAATTTGCACAAAACGGTTGCCCATAAAGAAGAGAAGATGAAGGTATTTTCTGTAATTGTTACAGAAATTAAAGAATGTTGAAGGAAGAAAAGTAATGATTAGCAAGATGAATTCTTGGTTAAGATTGAGTGATTATGATGCCTAATCCATAACCTATTTATAGGCAATTAAGGAGGTTGCATGTATGACAAGTGTCGAGAGTCTTTTGAAACTTGTCCCATTATATTAGTCCACTTGGCTCCAATATTGACAAGTGTATCTTGTCTTCCATGCATGAAGACATATGGTAGGCCACTTGGAAATAAATAGGACATTGAAAAAAAAAACTTAAAAAAAAACTCATGGCTATTGGTTGTAAATGGAATTTCAAATTAACTTTGCATTATGAATAATTCCAACACTCATCAATACTGGCTTTTTTATAATTAACACCAAAATTTTATATATTTGACAAATACATATATAGAACTACTATAAATTAAATTATTACTTAGTCAAATTAATTAAGAATTGAAAATATTTAAAAAATTGATAAAAAAAATAATCAATAAAACCCTTTTTAACTATCCAAATACTAGCATTAATATAAGATGTGACATAAATCTATAATAAGATGAGAAACATAGATATGTAATTTTTTCTTTCCCTAATGGTTACGTAGAGTAAAACTTTGGATTATTTAAAAGATTGTATGTATACCTGATGGAAGCCGAGCTCTTTGGTGAGAGGAACGCCAAGCTCAGCAACACAGCCAGCGATCTTCTGATCAGAACCGTACAAGTAATGGTAGCGATTAATGCAGCCGTCTAATATCTTGACGAGCTCCGCCGCGAGAGGATAACTAATTGCGAAGCCTCCGCCGCCGCAAGCAATACCATAGGAAAATAGAACATCCAGATCCACAGTGTAGGAACTCCCACCAATGTAATACATTTTGTTGTGATCATATTTAGCCAAAACAGTCAATAAATTTTCAGTAAAAAAAACTGTGTCATCATCTCCCATTACAAACCACCTCACATTCGTGAAGCCCAGTTCAAAACTCTCCTTTACAATCCTCGCAATTCTCATAGCTGACCTGCAGAGGTAGAGCCAAAATGTCAAGCGTATGGGTTCGGAATTCTAACCGTTTTAAGTTACTGGGTTCTAAACTAATAATGTATACATATTCAATGAACTTTTTAAGACAAATACAAGGTTCAAACCAAAGTTACAGGGTTCGGCCGAACCCGCTCCCAGCATTCTATCCGCCCCTGCTGACCTGCAGTGGCGGAGCCAGGAATTTTGCTAAGAAGTGTAACAATATAAGGAAGTAAGCAAATGAAGAACCTAACGGGATTCAACATTTTGTATATACTCCCTCCGTTCACTTTTACTTGCCGCTATTGACTTTGCACACCCCTTAATTAGAAATAATAAATAATGTGTATAATTTACTATAATATCCATATTAATTTGTGTATAGTATTAATGGATTTGGAATGAGTAATTAATGCTAAAGGCGAAACAGATTTATTTTTCTCTTGATATGCGAAAGTGAACAAGTAAAATTGAAAATCTATTTTTAGAATAGTGAACAAATAAAAGTAAACGGAAGAAGTAGTATATAATTTTCACAGCTGACCTGTATCCAAACGAGCAGGTAAACTTGAATGCGGAAGTGTCTTGGGAGATCCTATAGGGTGGGAAAGTCTCCGGCCAGGATTCGTTTCCCGGGGGCGTCTTATCGAGCCACACGAATCCTCGCGTTACATTTGGTCTCCACCAGAGACCAGAGTAACCCGAGCGATTCTTCCATGTGTTAGCGGACCCTGCGATGCCAAACAGAATGTGGGATATGTTTGTTTCTTCTTCTTCTTTGCTGATCAGATTTTCTCTGTTTGCAAGGGTAGCAGTATAAGCATAGTTGTGGGAGAAACGAGCAGTGAAGGAGATTAGAGAAATGGAGGTGACTAAGCCAATGGCAATGAGAAAACGCTTCATGGAAATGGTTAAATGGTTTGTATCTAAGTTGCGTTTATTTAGGGAAAAGGATACTAATTATGGCTAAACTTGTATCCTTTCTTTGCCTGATTGGGGAAACGTAGTTATGAAATTTTGTTTATTTGTCGATTTTTAAATTTTGTATGTTCTATTGTACTTGGGTGAATAAATATTTCTCTCAGGGACAGGCTCTGTCGACAAGTTTCAAATCTCAAGGAAAAACTTTTTGGATGACTTGTATTCTACAGCTCGAACGTTCTAAAATCAAATTTACAAAAAACAATTTGGCAAACCCAATATTGTGTTGGTAGCATAGTTAATTCGTACAACTTTAAAGTATTCACTAAGAATCGAACTTTGGATCAGTATCAAGTAGTATAGTCTCAAATATTGAATTAAATCAGCTGAATTGGATAACAAACTACAAATTATACACATGTTCCCCAACAAAACAAAAATCTTGTGTTCCCATTCATCAATATCAATCATCAATCAATATCAATAATATTATAAAAGCATGAATAAAATGTTGGATTACAAAAATAACCTTTTAATATTAAGTATAATAACTCATAATAAAAGGACATAATCGGAATTATAGACATTAGGCTTGTAATCCTATTACTTTTAGGATATACTTCTTAAAAATTCCTATTACTATTTAATTTTTTTAAAAAAAAACGTATTATATTGTCCAAATCTATTTAAAAACAGGAGAGCTCATATATGATTATAAAAGAACGAATATAATATTGATAAATCAAAATAGCTCTAAAATATTAAACAGAAGAACTCATAAGGAAATGGCATAGCTGTAATAACTTATTTTTTTGGACTACATAACTTCTCTGTTAATTTTTTTAATATATAAGATTTTAAAATTAATACAATCTTGTCTATTGAACTCTTATTAAAAATATGTAGGAAGGTTTAATAAAATCAATTTCATAAGAATCCTCCATATTGGTAATACATTATCACTCTATAATATCAATACCCAAAAAATTAATGATAAACGGACTGCATAAAGTGTTGAAATTAAGAAAACATTCTCAGGATAATATATTATTATATTATATTTGAACTGCTTTCCTACTCAAATAATATTTATTTTATTATTAATTTTTCGTGTAATATAGAAAAATATACCCAATTATTTAGAACAACTAAGAAATTTTTTAAGAATATAAATGTGTGAGAAAAGAAAGATAAAGGTTGGTAAAAGCCAATACCATTAATAATTTTGCAAACATAAATATCTAAAAGTGGAATGTTATCGATCTTTTTACTCTTTAAAAATAAAATTTATGGTGGATAAAATTATAATCACGGTTAAATATTTAAAAAATGAGATGAACTAATAGTAAGAATCTAAATCAATTAAAAATAAATTATATTTTATGTTAAAACCAAATAATCAAATCTTTCCATTAATTATTCAGCAAGAGAATCCAATTAAATTATTTTTTAAATTCATCATATGAGTAAAATTATTTTTCAATTAAAAAAAAATTCTTAAGATACATAAATTTATTCCATAAAAAGAGTGTTACAGATTTTAAAAAATAGATCACAAAGTAAAAAAGATTAGTAATGTTAATAATGCCATACAAGTGTTTGAGAAAGCACAATCAAAGCTAAATCCTGATCAAGAATAAGCTTTCAAGACTATATTATAAAAAATCGACTTTGGTATAGCGGGATTANAAACCTCGTAAATTACTCTTTTTAGAAAATGCTACAACACTTCGGGCTTCATTGTTGGGTAGAGCCACGGCTTCCACCCATTTTGAAACATAGTCCACCGCCACGAGAATGTAAGTATTACCACAGGAGCTCACGAACGGACCCATGAAATCGATGCCCCAAACATAAAAAATATCCACCTCAAGAATTGTATTGAGGGGCATCTCATCCTTCTTGGAAATACCGCCGGCTCTTTGACATGCATCACATCTCTTCACCAATTCACTAGCATCCTTGAACAACGTGGGCCAATAGAAGCCACAACTCAAAACTTTTGAGGCTGTCCTCACCCCCCCGTGATGGCCAGTGATGGCCACCATAGGGAGAAGAGTGACAAGCCTCCAATATGCTCATTTGTTCACTTTCCGGTACACATCTTCTTATCACTCCATCCGTGCAAATTCTAAATAAATACGGATCATCCCAACAGAAATCCAAACTATCCTGCTTGAGTTTCTTCCTTTGGTTGGAAGAGAGCTCACACGGGACGTTACCAGTCACAATGAAGTTGGCGATGTCCGCGAACCATGGCATTTCACACATAGAAACGGAAAGAAGCTGCTCATCAGGGAACCTATCATTAATCTCAATACCATCACTTGGTCTCCCATCTTCCTCTAATCGGGACAAATGGTCTGCAACTTGATTCTCGCTTCCCTTTCTATCCACAATCTCTAAATCAAATTCCTGAAGGAGTAGCACCTATCTCATCAATCTTGCTTTCGAATCCTTCTTAGTTATCGAATACCGGAGGGCTGCATGGTCCGTGTGTATGATCACCTTTGCTCCCATAAGGTAAGGTCAAAATTTCTCCATCGCGAACACAATAGCCAATAGCTCCTTTTCTGTCACTGTGTAGTTTCTCTGGGCCTCATTCATCGTCTTGCTAGCATAATCACAGGATGGAACATTTTGTTGATCCTTTGGCCTAGCATCGCCCCAACCGCTACATCACTCGCATGGCACATAAGTTCAAAAGAATCCCAATTAGGTGCGGTGATTATAGGAGTTGTTGTCAACTTGTGTTTCAATGGCTCAAAAGACTCCATGCACTTCTCATCAAAAATAAACTTGACATCCTTCTTTAACAACTTGCAAAGCGGGTTCACAATTTTTGAAAAATCGTTAATGAATCGCCGGTAGAACCCGGCATGACCAAGAAAACTCCTCACCCCTTTGACAGAAGTAGGGGGAGGGAGCCTTGAGATAACCTCTATTTTTGCCTTATCAACTTCAATTCCTTGCCTTGAGATTTTGTGACCCAATACAATTCCCTCTTGCACCATAAAGTGACATTTCTCCCAGTTGAGCACAAGGTTGGTTTCTTCACATCTTGTAAAAACCCTATCCAAGTTCACCAAACATTCTTCAAATGAATCTCCCACCACGCTGAAGTCGTCCATGAATACCTACAAGATATCCTCCACCATGTCGGTGAAAATTGCCATCATACATCTTTGGAAGGTCGCTGGGGCATTACATAGTCCGAATGGCATTCTCGAGAAAGCGAACGTGCCATAAGGACATGTAAAGGTTGTCTTCTCCTGATCCTCCGGGGCAATGAGAATTTGATTATACCCCAAGTAGCCATCTAGAAAACAATAAAAGGCCTGGCCCGCAAGACGATCAAGCATTTGGTCCAAGAATGGTAGTGGGAAATGATCTTTTCTTGTCACCTTATTCAGCTTTCTATAGTCCATACACACTCTCCAACCCATAACTGTCCGGGTAGGAATCAACTCATTGTTGGCATTGGTCACTACCGTCATTCCACCCTTCTTTGGCACACATTGGACCGGAGAGGTCCATGAACTATCCGAGATCGGGTAAACTACACTGGCGTCAAGCCACTTGATAACCTCTTTCTTTACTACTTCTTGCATCACCTCGTTGAGTCTCCTTTGATGTTCAATAGATGGCCGTGCATCCTCCTCCAAGATGATCTTATGCATGCAAAATGCGGGGCTTATTCCCCTGATGTCCGCCAAAGTCCATCCTATTGCCCTTTTTCGCTTTTGAAGCACCTCCACAGTGGCCTCAACCTGCAAGTTAGTAAGGCAAGAAGAAAGAATAACTGCAAGAGTATAATTAGCGCCCAGGAATTCATACCTGAGGTGTGGAGGAAGTGGTTTCAACTCCAACACCGGTGGCTCCTCAATTGATGGCTTGGTTGGCGGAGTTTTGCGATTTTCAAGATCCAAAGATAGTTTCCTAGGCTCATATGAATATGAACCCATTCCATGCAATGCATTCATGCTCCACTCTACCGGCATCATCATTGGCATCCATGTTAAGAAGCACGGCTTCAAGAGGATCTTCAACATTAATCAAAGCACTTGTGTCATCCTCTATCACCGCCGTGACAATGTCCACAAATGAACACACCTCCGTACTATTGGGTTGCCTCATTGACTTTCACACATGAAATACCACCTTCTCATCACCCACACGGAATGTTAACTCCCCTGCTTCCACATCAACCAATGCCTTCCCCGTAGCTAGGAAAGGTCTTCCAAGAATAATAGGCACTTCGAAATCCACTTCGCAATCCAATATGACAAAGTCGGCCGACAATATAAATTTGTCCACCCGGACAAGCACATCGTCGATTATACCTAAAGGCCTCTTCATCGACCGATCTGCCATTTGAAGTCTCATTGAGGTTGGCCTAGGTTGCCCAATTCCCAAAGTCTTGAAGACTGAGTACGGCATCAGATTAATGTTATTCCCCAAGTCACATAGGGCCTTAGCAAAGTCCGCACTCCCAATAGTGCAGGGAATAGTGAAAGCTCAAGGGTCTTCTAGTTTCAGGGCCATAGAAGGCACAATCCACTAACTTGGTGCGTCATCTTTATTGTTTCACACTCCATAGAACGCTTCTTGGTGACTAAATCCTTCATGAATTTCGCGTACCCAGGCATTTGTTCAAGTGCCTCCACTAAAGGAACATTGATTGTGAGGCTCTTCATCATGTCTATGAATTTCTTGAACTGATTGTCATTCTTTTGCTTTGCTAACCGCCGAGGATATGGTGGAGGTGGTCTAGGCAAGGGTGCCTTGGCCTTGGGTACCACCGGCTCGGGTATATCAATAATGTGTTCCCTAGACGGGTTCACGGCATCTTGAGTCTCTACCCCGGCCTCATCATCAATATCAATCCGCACATCATTTGTCACTATTGGTTCAACCACATTGTCAACATTCAAAGGTGCATCATCATCATGCAACTCAACTTCATCATTCACAACTTGATTCTCATCCGAGGCATGAACATCACCGCCTCTTCCACTCCTAGTTGTAACCGCCATCACATGATTGTTACCCCCCTTCGGGTTCACTACCGTATCACTTGGTAGCGCACCTTTTGGTCGAGTATTTAAA